CGGATAGCGCAATATTCTTACCCAAACTAACGAATTAATGTTAAAATTCAAGTTTTCTGAAAATTCTTTTTTTCATGAAAACTTTTTTTATTTAACTTTCACGTGCAGTTTATGAAGCTACAATGAATATTGCAACAAACTGCTAAATTGAACTAAATCGAGTAAATTTGTTATTGATGACTTTATTTTTTCTAGGAAAAAAGGGAACATGGGGATCAAAGTAAGAGTCAATGTATTTTTCTTTAAAATTCATTATAAGATCTTCTTCTTTTCGTATTCAAAAATTATAAAAGCTTTTATAGATTGTTTTGTCAAAAATTATAAGTTTGTAATCAGGTAAAGATTTAGCTTTCGCGGGAACTCTTATGAACGAGTCAAATTTGAAATTGAGGTGGATATGATCTAAAGTCCGAGTTTTTCTTCAACAAATAAGACTCCAGATAAGGCCTTCTTCATAAAATAAGAAAAATTGGATATTGTTACTATATAAAGGTTTACTTCTCCTACGAACCCTTACATAAAAGAGGATCCGAAAAGTAGACTTGCATTATTCAAAGCTGACGCAGTAAATTTATTTGTCAAATCGCTTTTTTGGACCAATTTCGATCATAAAATGCTAAACATTCAAGTTTCCTGCTTTATAAAAATATATGTTTCTGACGCGATCGAAAGCTTATATAAGAAGTACTTGAAAAAAATGATCTTATAGCTTGCAAAAAATTCTCAACTTTGAGTTTCCGATTCAAGCAATAGTAGGAATCGCAAATTTGGGCCTTGTAACGATGCCAATCAATTTATTTTCGAGAGTGTTTGGCCTTCAGTCAAAAGACCCCTGTGACAATCGCATGGGCGGCAAAAGAGGGGAGGGTAGACGAACGAACATTGCTAAATCGACTTAGAATGACTTTTTGTGTAGTAAGTGCTGGGGTTGTAGAATAAAACCGCGTGCTTTAAGTTCTTCTGGGGGATGCAAAATTTTACGCACGCAAACTTAATATACCCTACACCACTGGTAGTGTAGATTACAATAATTCCAATTAGGAATAAACTTACTAGCGACAGAAAATCTTGTTAGTTCACGACCTAGGCAAAGGAACATGTAATTGAAAAACATTTAGGAAACATGCCGCTCGTAATAAGATGATGTAGATGAAGACGTTAATGCAATATGCAATAGCTTCAGCTGCAACATGTATTACATGAGTAATTAAGTTACCAACCCGCATTTTCATTATGAGAAGGTATGAAACAAAACGTGTGTGTGCCCTCTTGTTACATACAGTTTATGAACACTTATACATGTTGCATATAGTAACGCGAATAATAGTAAATTCGGCTCGAATTTTTCGAAACCTATCACTTACTTAAGTTGCTTTATTTGAAAAAAAAAAAAAATAAATAAATAAACGTATAATGCATTTTAATGCGTATTGAAGGTATCAAAATCTAATTTCGACAGTTAATAAGCAAGAAAGTTATACTTGGCTGTGATCGAATTTCGCATACCATACTTCATATCTTTTTTTTATTGATGTAAAAAATAGAATGGGATAAAATTTATTATTCACTTTTTACTGCATTAAAAGTTATATTGAAGAAAAATTAATCAACTATGTCGTGACGTTCACCATATATAAATATCTAAACCTATCTAAAATTATTATATCTAAAATTAACGCACTCCAAGTCCTTTTATTTGAAACCCATATGCACGGTATTTTGAGGAAAAAATGTATACTTCATGTCGTGACATCCGCCACAATTAATTTAGAATTAACATAACTTACCTTGTCGCCTTCTACTCTCCGAGTCTTTTCATTTGATACCCATATCGCTGGTATTACCAACAAAAAATGAATCCACCAGGTCATCGTGTCCCCTATATTTAATTTAGACTTAATGCAATTTTATGCAGACAATACATCTTCACTTGAGGAATGTAATAATCAGTTTTGAACATTCTACCCTGTTTATGTTATGATTAATAAGCATAAGTCCCCAAAAAAGTGCAAAAAAAAAAGAGAATTTAATCACTTGTAACTTTGCGTGGGCATGGCCGATTTTTTTCATTTAGCAAATATATAGTAGAGTTTCTTGTAAAGTAAAGGTGGAAAATTTCAGCCATCTATCTTTTATAAGTTGTGCGTAATGAGCAAAAATCTATAAATTTTTGTTTAGAAAAAGAGAGTTGCGTTCACGCGTACGCTTTACTGCGGGCTTGTGCTCTTACCAATTTGACCCATTTTCAATACTAGCCTACGTACAAAAACTTCCAATGTTTCTATCACATTTGAAGTCGACTAAGCGAGTGCCAACAACACACATCACAAGAACGCACAGACAGACGTGGTTTAATCAATTCTGAATTTCATGCTGCTCAAGAATCTGTATATTGTTTGTAGGGCCTCTAATACTTCCTTTCGTGTGTCCCAAACATTATGACAAACATAATAAAAAATAAATTATGATGGCGATGACATCACACATTAATGACAACATGAACGTTAGCAAAATGGACAACGATAAGACTTGTTTGTGCCACGCTGCTAGTACTCCTTAAATGATAAATGTCACGGCTCCTTCACACATTCATAATCCTTGTCAGACGATAGATAACAAAGAAACCATAACGTACTAAATTGGGGCCACAAACTGTTAGCCTGGTTCCATGGTTGAAACGATGGGTTTTGAAATTTTGGTATGTGGTTGTGACAGCGACCACAAAGACACTTGCTTATTGTAGTAGTGAAGTTCGAGGGGAATCAGAACGTGCGTGTAGTGCGTGTATCAACATACCAAAGCAACAAACCGCAATATATTTACGCTCCCAAATATTTCAAAAGAGGTGGAAATGCTGTATATAACTCGTTAAGGAATTGTAATCGTAATTTTGAGGACACTATAACGAAGCCGATGCCTGGCTACGATCGACGGCAAAACACCGACTGTGGTTGCCATAATTCCTTTCGACCTGACGGCGAGTTTTGTCAAGAAGCTGACGAAATTGTTGAGATGATTAGTGGTGGAAAACTTATTATCCCTACAAAACTAGTGATGATAAAGGCAACTTAGAGGATGTTGGCAAAACAAATGCATAGTAAACTCAATCGGCACAAAGTGATATTACATATATGACGTAAACAGTTACATTAGACGAATTCGAATCAGTCAAATCAGTAGATAATAATGATACGATCTCTTTAGCTCAAATCTCTCATCAATTAATACCTGAGCCAATATCTGCTGGTCATGTGATCATAGACAGAAAGAAAAGCAAAAAGAAAAACTGCTGCGTTTTACAATGAATTATCCACTGACTAGGCGATTAGACTGCAATTATAATCCTCACTCATACCCGCAAGAGCAAGTGCTGGCTCATTAACCATCAATTCGCTAGATGGGATAGAAAAGAACGCGCAAAATATATAAGAAGTGAAAATGAACACATAAACAAGCCATTTGTTCCCACGAGTAGGGAACTCTCTTGACACTATTTATTTACACACATACGTAGATACCCAAGTAACATTAATATATTTATTTTGTTAAACATTTTTCTTTATTAATTATTACAATTATACTTGGACATGTTTTAAATACATTTCATTCGAAATTGAAGTATACTCATTAAGATGCTTAGAATTGTTTATACACAAACACTTTTTTTTTGTTTTTGCATCTGAAGAGAAAAGAAATCTATTGCCATCAACTACAAGAACAGTTACAATGGATCCCATCATGTTAAGAACCATGAACATATCAAGTAAACCAAAAAGAATGCATGTATATAGTGTTATATGTAAGTTGTATATTTCATATATATTTTATGTTATGTTGTGTGTAGAAATTGGAAAACGGAAGCAAAATAAAAGCAACATTCTTACTAATAAATGATATAAAAACTTGTTGCTGTTTCGGAAAATGAATTTGGAAAAAAAAAGCTTTTGTTTCGCATACACTGATTTGCTCAAAATATTATGTTAGTCAGATCTTAAACCATTTCTAATAGGAATAAATGCTCTTGAGCCGGAACATATTGTTGTGAGGAATATTATTAAAATAAATCGAAAATTGCGATATAAAAATTGAACATAAAAATATGTACGACAGACATCAGACGGATTCAGACGGCGATTAAATCGATCGAAAAATGATTCTTATCGCGAATATAGACGAATAAAGGTAAACATAAACATACAACGCCTCTCAAGCTTATAAATGCTTACAAGCCTTATGACAGATGCAAAAGTGAATCAATCCTTTTGTGTAGGCATAAAAAGAGTATCAAATTTTAATTGGCTCAAATCAATATTTAACAGCTAAATCTACGTATGTAGCCATACGTAATTATTTCGAAAATGGTCTAATGCACAATGCAATACGCACACACACATATATACACACATATATATATATATATATACACACACACACACACACACACAAGCAAACGCACATTCAAAAATATCGCACACTTTTGCTACATTCCAACAAGAGTATAACAAACTGTCTGCAGACATAACTTAAATAATAAAAATAAGAGAACAACTTATGCTCGTATAAAGTAATACAAGTTTACGCACATATATACGAGTAAACAGTTTTAAACTGAATATGGTGTTAAAACAAATATGTATCTCATATACTTTAGCTATAAGTCTGGTTTATTTTTTTGTTACTAAATATATTTCTACTTAAATCAACTCTACTGCTTAAGTAGGCATAACCAATCTGAATCATCTTCAAGCCATAAGTGCGCACAGGTATACACAATTATTTGTATAAAGAAATATAGAAAGAAAGAAAAAAAAAAATATGCATATATATAATATATATATATATGCATATATAAATAATTGTATCGTTGCACACATAAATATAATTGTTGATACACATATTATAGATTCGCTTAAGACATAGCGTATAGTGAGTGAGTGAATGTAACGTAAACATTTTAGCAACGCAGTGTGCATCTAATAAATAAATTTGTTCAATTTCAGCGAACAAGAAAGCCAAATTGCTTAATGGTGGTACAGGAGTGCAACAGCAATCATCTGCTGCGGCAACTGCAGCGGTAAATGGAGCCAACAGTAATGGTGAAATTAACAATAATCATCATCATAACAACAATAACAACAATAACAATAGCAACAGCAATAATAACAACGTTAGTAATAACAATAATATTAGCAACAACTACAATAGAAATCATCAATATGAACAGCAACAACAACAACAACAGCAACAACAACAACAACATTGCATTCAGAACGGTAGCTATGGTAGAAATCCAAACCATTACCAGCAATTGCAGCACAACGGCACAGGCAATAGTGGTGGTGGCATTAACATTGGCAACGGCAATCACCAAGCATACACCGCACATCATTCGCATCACTATCAGCAGCTTAAACAGCAACAGCATCAGCAGCATCAAATATACAGTTCATCGGTTGAAGATCATTACGAATTGACCCATTACGGACATAGTGTGACCGGACGACCTGGCGGACCAAATTTAGTAAACAAACAGTTGGTCTTACCCTTTGTTCCGCCCAGTTTTCCAAATAACTCACAGGATGGCGTTACTCATCTTATAAAGCCATCGGAATACTTGAAAAGCATCAGTGATAAGCGTTCGTGTCCCTCATCGGCGAGGTAAGTAAAGCTTATTTCTTTTTTTTTTTTTTCATTAATTTACTAAATACAGCGAAGCCAGCGTATTACCAGTCATTTGCGTTAATCCGAAAAAACAAAAAAAAAATAAATAAAAAAGCCTTCTAAATATTTCAAGTGCGTGACTCTCTTGTGTGAATTACCATTAGTCTCGCCACAGTTGTTCGCCGCGAACAATTGCCAAAAAATGCAAACATTTAATTTGTATCACAACATATTTACAATAGCGTTCGTTACGTTAACACTTAACGGATCTTTGCAGATGACCAAATTGTCTTAATTATCTCGAATACGATCAAACTTGAATTCAGTTTCAATTGAACGTTGCATTGCAATGATACTACAGCATCGTAAACCTCGCACCTGGCAGAGGTACACTTGCGTTCTTGAGCATAAAATGGAATATTTTCTCTTGCAATAAATCCGAAATCTTTTTCATGAAAATCAGTTCGGATTACATTTATTAATGTTGAAACGTGAACATAGTGAACTACTAAAGTAAATGCTAAGCATAAGAAATCGTTGAACTTTTGTTTAATCATTTTTTGTATGCTATCGATAAAAGCCAACAATTAACAAGTATTAAATTCTAGCACCAGAGATATTAATGCTTAGTAATACTCGCTAAATGCAATCAAATATTCAAAGTGTAAACGAAATTCAGAACTGGAAAAGTGCCGTAACAGTGAAAATTCAATTCCAGGACTAGAATTTAAGCAATCATTTTGCAGCTAAACACAATCAATCGAATGAATAGTCGCATTCAATATTTTGATATGTTTCTTAACTCATTTTATTTGATGGGAGAAAATCGAATTTTTCTCTGTTAACTTTTTACCTTTTCAAATTTGATTAAATCAAAGGGAAATTTCACAAAATTTTGCCGAATAAAGTGGTTTCGCTTATCTTAAAAGTATCGAACCTTTCGGGATCAAATTCGTGAAAATGTCGATTGTGTTGTTTCCCATATACGGCGTTTCGTCAACTGACTATTTGTGCACTTTTTTGCAGCCATAGAACTTCGTCGCTACAAAATTTCTTCGATATCCGATGATAAAATAATGACACGCGGTTTACCGAAACATCCTTTGGAACTAAGCAAACATTTCCCAACCGCGATACTTAAAAATGTATCCGATTTCTTACTTTCAACACACTTTACCCACACAGCGGGAAAACTTTGCTACGCCCAATTATCAAAGACTGAGAACATTTTCTTCACTTTGAAAAGGGTGTGTCACCGTCGCAAATAGTCGAATTTTCATAAACCTGGATATTTCAACAGATATCCAAAAATAAATCGTCAATCATACGAAAATTTGTTTTTGAATTAAACTACGCGGCATAGAATGGTCGCGCTTTTTCTTCTTCTTCAATGCCGTTTGGTGATAAATCTTCGGATCCTTGGCGGTGCAGATGTCGCTCTCTTGCTCTTCCATCACTTATGTATTTCCTACAAGGAAAAGAGAACATTTTGAACATCCATCTGTGCACAAATACTAATTTTTACATCAAAGTGCAAAATGCATTCTCTTTCCGAAGCGTACATTTATTCTCGGGGCCCATAATGCGCCAGCTTTGAAGATATGAATCGAAACGCTCTTTCTGCAACGACTAATTATATAGATGCAAGCAATCCACTAATGTGTATGGCATAATCTAAAATGTTTCGCAGACAGATCTTAACATGTACTTCATGGTACATGGGTGAAAACTTAATTCAAGCGTGCTCACCTACCGCGGGCTTGATCTGTGAATACCAATTCGAAATCACATTTATATAAACGCAAGACTTGAATGTGATTCTTAGATCCCGATAAATATTTCTGTGTATCTGCCGTGAAGCCTTAACTCTAGGATATCCGACCATATACTACGTGAAGTTCGCGTTGCTTCACGTTCCCAGAGTTCAACTTCCGAATACCAAATTGGACGCAGACTCGTACTTACATAAATGAGAGACTTGTAATTAGTTTTAATGAAGTCAGACGATGAGATAAACAGCATACGGGCAAAGTTTCACTAGTTAGAACCAATTTAGGGAGAAAATGATCTACCATAATCTTCTCATTATTGGAAAGGAACCCACCCCTGCTGTCAAAAAATTACTATTTCCTTAGCTTGTATCAAATTTGAAAAACAAAAAAAAAGTTCAAAAGGCGATGAATTTTGTATAACTTATGATATAAAGTTAGCTTAGGAGAGAGTAATTCGAAATTTCTTGCTTTTACTACCTCTCTTGATCATTTTTAGAAAGCAAGTTCTCGTCTTTGAAGTAAAAGCGTATGTAACATAATTTCGGAATAGAAGTCATTATCAATGTTTTCACCTTCAATGAAATGGTCTAATCTTAAATGGTTTCTGCATCTGTACATGTTCACAAAAACTATGAAAACACTTTTACTTTTGCTTTCAAAATGAGATCCAGAGATAAACGTGGTCTCAATTAATTAGCTAATGCGAATACCCGCACTTAAGGCATTTATTTCAACGCCTTTAATAAACAAGGTAGTTTAGCTAAAGTAACAGTTAATGCAGACTCATAAACATGCACACTAGTTTACCAGCCGAGTGAGAAGCGAACCAAAAAACCAGCCACATGGAAACGCATAAAAGAAATTTATTACCAATGTTGACGATGTGGTATTGCGAATACGTACAATTAAACTACTTACATGTTCCTAACAGTAGTTGGCTTTAGGTTTTATACACATTATCCAAAGGCGTCCATACATTAATATTGTCATTGCTTTTGTAACGCAAGCATCCTGTTAGGTACGTATAGCAACTTTCCTTTAGGACAAGGCGAAGCCTATCGTACACCTTTAACTATTTAATGCCTCCGCATTTGGGGATTACCGGAATAATCGCAAGTACCCAAGCGGTCAGGCTTCACACGTCACCGAACCAACTTCCACTTAAGTTTCCCTCCAAGGTTCAAACCTAAGCATTTGTATACACTGTTTCTACTGAGGTATATCGCACAGTTGTCCACCATCACGTTTGATGTTTAATCAGGTTCATGCATATCATACGTATGGCGTCATTCATGACTAGACAATTTTTGCAATATTATTCAAAAAATATATGTATATATATACTCCGTTTCCCCCTACAGAAATACCAAAAGGTGCTAGCTTTCCTCCGAAAGTTGCTAACTTAGCGTATGTTTCTTTTGTCCGTGTTTTATCAATGCAGCCAGTTCTATTTCTATCCCTATGCCTGGGTACAAGTGACATTGACTGAGCTGATAATATGACCTCCGTGGATTCCCTAGTTTTGATCCATAGTGCTTTAGAGTTATCGGCTTTACGCTTGTCATATATTATCCATACTCTTGCTTTTGGATTGTCCATGCTTCCTGGACGCCATCCAGCTAATACCCCCTTCGATTTAAATGTATAAGAAGCAGATATTAATACAGCATGCAACAGGCACCAACTCATACTAGGAACTTCTCTGGCCACCTCAATACTTCACAAAATCGACATTCATTATTTCGACATTGTCGAGGTCGTAAGGTGAAGAGAAACCGCCGATTTAGAAGGGCGGTGTTATGGCTTTGTTATAATATATGAAATGCAAATAAAAGACTCCATCCTCTGTTGACGAGAAATTCATGGTCATAGAGGTTGAGATAAAAAGATGGAACTGAGCACGCTTAGGCTCTGGATCTCTACATCCAATTTAAAAATCAATTTGATGCTCACAAAACAGCTTAAAAGAACCGTAAAAAGTCACTATCTTATTTATTTACAGAGAATGAGCAGAAAAAAAAAAATATATATATAGATATATATATATATAGATATAGAATATATATACTATATATGATATATATGATATATATATATATATATACAGACTTCGAATAGAGCAGAGAACAGAGAGGCTTAAATCGATTTATATAATAAATCTAAAGCCATTGGTACGAGGTTAAGAGGTTGGTCTCCCTCCAAAAATTCTAAGCTTTATGTACATCCACATAACCTTCATAAACTTTTATTGCAAAGAGCGTAGGATCTAATTCAGTCTAATTGCATTGCAATTATAGATGTAATGAAGGGCAAGCTTATCTTAAACAATGTAAGGTATAAACATGTGAAAATATTAAAAAATATTTTTTATTCGAAAGTTTATAAGCTGCGGCAAAAAACTTGAAGAACTTACTTAGGTTCTTTCAGTAGCAGAAATGGTCCAAGTTGATTAATAGATAGACGCTCAATTTTGAACAGATCTTCAAACTGGTAACTAAAGTTATTCAGAAATTTATTCATCTTCAATCATGAAATGAAAATGTCATATCATCTGCCATAGAATGAATGATGCCACAAAATCTTTCTATAACTCTGTACCTGTACTTTAATGATACTGCAAAAATTCGAACATGTTTTCCAAACGGCAAACATTAATCATTTTCTGCAAGGAATGTGAAACTTTGTTCTTCTCTTATTTGAATCTAAAGGAATGTTTATTTTTATCATTTTAGGTCGACAGATACTGAAGATTATATGCAAATACAAGTGACTAATCAGCATTCGACTACGATTGAACCGCCCAAGCCACCGCCACCTCCTCCATTGCCTTTAACACCATTAACTCATCATAACACCATACAGAATAACGATCGCCATCATAATTCAAAATCAATAAACACCCATACGCAAAGCCATCATACAGACACAACTATACGAAAACAGCATCAGCCCCTCTCAGCCATTTCTATACAGGATTTGAATAGTGTTCAAGTGAGTCATTTTTTAGATAAAATAAAAAGTTTTATTGTTAGTATGAATTATCTTTCGATGAATAGTTGCGTCGTACCGACACTCAAAAGATACCAAAACCGTATCAAATGCCAGCACGAAGTCTCAGCATGCAGTGCTTATCCTCCACAACAGATACTTATTTGAAAAGTGATTTAATAGCTGAACTTAAAATCTCGAAGGATATACCGGGAATTAAGAAAATGAAAGTTGAAAAGCAAATGGCAAATCGTTTCGATTCGGAACATTATACCGAAATAACGAAACAATTTACGGCATCCAATTATGTCGATCAAGTGAGTTTAGTTAATAAGTGACAATTTCGCTTGCATATCAATAGCGGACTTTTCATAAATTGTCGAAGATATATTTTCAGATACCGGAAAGAGATCAAGCTGGGAATATCATACCCGATTGGAAAAGGCAAATGATGGCTAAGAAAGCGGCTGAAAAAGCTAAAAAAGAATTCGAAGAGCGTATGGCTAAAGAGGCCGAAAATCGAAGATTATCTCAGATACCGCAATGGAAACGTGACTTGTTGGCCCGTCGTGAGGAAACTGAAAATAAGCTTAAGTTAGTTTATAATGATCTAATAAAATTTGAACAAGTTTTTATTTACTTTTATTGTATTATGATATTTAGGGCAACAATTTATACACCCAAGGTGGAAGAAAACAATCGAATAGCGGATACTTGGCGTTTGAAAAATCGAGCAATGTCCATCGATAATATTTCGATGGTTTCTTGTGCTGCCGACATATTCTCCGGCAATATGACTAATAACAATAACAATAACAATAATAATAATAATAATAATAATAATAAAGAAAATTCACAAGGTTACGGTCAAAATGGTATTACTACTAATGGTCATGGCGTTGACAATCCTAATGAAACACAACAGCAACAGCAACAACAACAGCATCATGTTGATACCGATAATGAAAATATTATACCGTGGCGAGCTCAATTAAGAAAAACCAATAGCAGACTGAGTTTAGTTTAATACGGGACACGGGAAACCATAAGCCCATATGCAAATGAAGAGAGGAAGATGAGAATTTCAATATATGATAAAATGTTTAAAATGATTCCGTTAATCGAATGTATTCGCTTTCTTTTTATATATGTTATTAAAATCGAACACATTTATGTTTGTTTTCGTAAATATATATATATATATATATATATATATATATGTATTTAATTTTTATACGCAAATGCATTTTAGAGTTATTTGCTTTTGATCTTTAAACATCAAAAAGTGAATGGCGGTGAAATAAAAATAGTTTCCTTTTTAGTTACAATTAAATACAAATTCTTTCTATTTGATTCGTTTTATTATAAAAATGCTTTTCAACGTATTGAGGTCGACTAGTTAGCAATCCACTTTCGCATCAATTGTTCAACAAATTGAGAAATAAAAATTTCATCTAGAGTTAAGAAATTTCGGTGCAATATACAAATAATGGAATGAAATTAATTAAAAGTCCAGAGCAAAAGAAAATTTTTTGCATGATAATTTATGAGAATTATTTTCAATTTTTTTTTATATTCTATTTTTTAATTTTTTAATTTTTTTCGTTTTTCTCTTATTCACAACAATCACTTTATACCTTATTCAATTGTATGTATTACTAAATTATTGTATTTGTTATTTTTTTCCTTCTTTTTTATGCAAAATTAATCTAAATAAATATTCTTCACAGTAAATAAAAACACAATACTTCTAAATGGTTTTCATTAAAAGGTGCGACTCAACCGAGTTCGTTTATAATAACTCGACCCCTTTGTCTGAGCCATGGCGGGTAGCATTGCATGTCGTGTCAAAATTAGGGCCATTTTTCCTATAAGGGGATCAAGAAGTTACTAGTAGACTATAGACAACAGTACACATGCGTATTGACGTTACCTTACGCGACTTACATTCTTGTTTGATCGGAAGAGAAAAAAAATCATCTACTTTTTCCACTCACCGATTCGTTCAGCTTAACTATAATATTGATATTGATACTATCTTTTTGATTTTCTACATATACTTAAAAGAAGGCTCTATGCCTATGCTAATGAAAGCCGTATTGGCAAACGCTATTAATTAAAAATAACACGGTTTCAGCTTCCGTCTGCACAACGTAGCTGTGTCGGGTGACGACGTAACTCGCCCAATGGTAATTTTCCTTCAATTTCGTCAAGGCGTCGTTGGACCAGTGTTAACACGAGCTTTTGCTCAAAAACCATTGCAAACAAATTGGAGAAAGGGCACGTAACCGTTACTTTCAGTATTTAAGGCGCACATTAGTCCACAATTCTATCTTAATTTACTAGATTTTGTCAAAGAATGCCAAAAGAAATATGAACTTAACCTTTAATATCGTCAATGACACAGGTTTCAAGAAACAAACCCCCAATATGAGATGTAGGACAAAGGATAAAGCATATTTTTTTCAATCTAGTTATTTCCGAAACACCATTCTTTACAAAATTATAATAACTCTCACGGATGAAGAGAGTCAAGATATGGTCCGTTGTGCTTAGGTGAAGGCATTTTCCTGGGGAATTTTCGACAGAACTATCGGTATTCTTATCGTTCATATTCCCGTGTCCTAGAGTTGCCCGCCAGTGTACACTGCAGCGATTACTATTTTAGGGATCTGCACGTATCGTTAGAAAACCTTACCAATACCGTTATCCTTCAACAGAGCGCACGCATTGATTACATTCCAACCACTTCTGTTCCGAGATGTTTTAAAATATGAGGTCGGTGAATATAGTTTGCAAATTGTGTATTCTAAAAATGATTGAAAAACAGTGGCGAAGACATTGGCAATTATTTGCCGACAAGAGTTCATATTTTCTCACCAGTAATCTACGATCTAAGGCAGATATTGACGTTTAGATATTAAGGTTTAAAAAGCTTGCAATTATTGTTGTTTTTTCTTTTTGTGTATTTGTATTTACTAGCAGCTTGAAAGTCATGGTCAAATGTACATAGTTCCATTACTATAAATCATGTTAACTTGGTCTATCGTTAACCATTGCAATCGTCAGCGGCCTTTGTCAAAACGCATTTACATGTTCAAGACTGAGACCAATTTTCCAACTAAAAGCATTTAAGGAGTCCCCAGAGGATCCCAACGCCGACGGCGGTGCACTCCAGTATCGAGCTGAACAAGCATTAAACGAGCCTTCAGCCACAGACCCTTTGATCTTTCGATTAGGAGATTGGGCGCTTGTAATTGAAAGATTTTATAGAGACATGTTAATCTGCTTAATCTAAATTTTAAGTAGTCGTAGAAAGAAAATTTCAAAAAAGCATGTGAACGAAAGAAGATACATGGTCTTTGAGTTTCATTTTAAAAGTAAAGCGTTATACGCGAGGCAACTCGATACACTTCAATAGAGTAGTTAATGGCATATTTAACTTATACTGGCAAGGGAGGGCACGTTAAGATTGTATAATTTCCCTAACCTAAGAAATATTTTCGCAGAGCTACTGACCAAGTGCACATCAAAGTTAAGTTTGCGATACGGAATTATCCCCAAACATCTACTTATAGAAAATAAAAAAAGAAAGCTATTATAGCTCCGGGGATTGACGCAAAGATGTCGCCCCTAACTAAAATCCTCGTCAAAATCTCGTGTAAATTCGATCATTTGTGCGTAAGTTATGGCGTGTTTGGTAACTCTGTTTACGTTACTTTCAAAAGAATTATGAAATTCGAAATTCGTGTGTTTATTACACATTGCTTTACGATGGGGAAATTTACCGTTCAAACTCAGCATTGACCTGAAAGGTGTTATTGCAAATCTTGCCCGCTGAAAATCGCAAGTTGTCTGTGGATTTCTATTTTTAAATAAGGTCCTACGGACGGATTCTGCACCCAGCAGATATCGAACAGAGATAATTAAAAAATATCGTAACAATTATTCTTGTTGATAAACGAACGAAGTTGCAAGAGATGCCTCCCTCTTTACAGATAACAAAAGAGAGTTTATTCAATATTTTGCGTGAAAAATTGAATTGTAGCGACTCTTACAGTATTCTCCAGGTCTGACCCACACCGATTATTGCCTGTTTACGAAAGGATGCTCAAAAGTATACTCTAGGCGATCATTATGAGAACAGAAGTATACTTTGAGGATATTGACATGTAGTCCTAGAAGAGAGCCATAGAAATGTTAGAAAAGTCTTGGACTAATTATAAGATTTTTGAAGCAGACTTTGTTGATGGCTGCAGATAAATTGTGCAAAGACACCAGTCCCAAGATCACGTTATGTTTATATATTCTTATTCACTCGCACTCCCGCTTTTTTCTAACAACGTACTTGTCTTGCTGTCATTGTCAAACTCAGAATCAATCGATTTGCGCTTTACGTGCCACGAAAACACAGAGAAAATGGTAAGACAATGTATAATTCTATAGCCGAATTCATAATTAATTAATTCTTCATAATGCACTTGGCAGCAGCACTGACGCTTTTCAAATCTCTCCTTCACGTACACGTCTTTTAAGAATAGCATGTGGGTTTTCTGTCTTTTCTGAAGGGGCCTCATTTCCTCATTTATTTATTTATTTATAAATACAAACTTCAGCTACAGTGAAGATTCAGCTAAATTGCGCAATCCATACAATTAAAGGCTCAACCTAAACAACTAAAGTAAAAAAGATCTTAAAACTACGAATATTTGTGGGTACATATATTGAAATAAACAATGTGAATATCATTACGCATCAAGCCCATGCATAACATGGAGAGTAAATTACATCACTTCGTTGTGCCTCTCGTAAACGGGAATTAGTATTTTGATGGAGCGCAGTTGGCTAATAGAACTTAAATTAAAAAAGGACGCAAGTCGTAGGCGGACATATAATATAATAGAATAATAGTCTTCATGACAACAGCAGGAATCAAGTTATAAATCTCGTTCAAATTATTACAGACAAGCTTCATAATTGAACCTGCATTGGCTATGTTCACAGAGAAAGTTGCATGTCGGGAGGATAGGAACATTAAAATTGACCTCACTTAATAAAACCGATGAGTCGATGGGGCCGCTTCACAATGAAAGTAATGACTAATACCACTCCAACGGCAAATAATCGACTTTCATAAGAAGGTGCAGCCACACACACGTGCATCCCAACCCAAATTTCCTAGATCAAAAACCGAAATTGCTTCTGCAGTGATTCTATGGAATTTACGAGTCAACGATACGAAGGTAACTATATGACCGAGGGGTGTTTTAATACAGGCCGTACTAAGCTAACATACAGTCTTCTCGTCAAGAACGGATCATCAGATTCCCTTGACCAGCATTTCAATAAACCTGGGCACGGATGTAGCTTTACTCACAGAATGTTCAACGTGCAAATTGACAAGACACCTATGTCCGGAAATGAGCCCACATTCTCTAACCTGAATCAAGAAAATATTCCTTTGAAGGGAGCTTAGATAAGATATGATTGGATATCCAAATTAACATACAAGAGAAGTTTGACGTCACCCACCTAGATTAGGATGTGGAAAGATTCAATAGCTGAGGGCAAATCATTAACGCATGCGAAACCATTTAACCCAATACGAACTTTGTTGGTTTATTGTTGTTGCAATCAGAGTTTAAAACTTTTCTCTACACCGTACAAATATGTTTTGCATTGCACAAATTTGATCCAAATCTCAAGCAGAAGTGCGTTCTGCTTACGTTTATTTTCCAAACCAAAAAAATGGATGATACTGCATAAAACTTGATGCTAATATAAATTCTCTGAAGTCATGATAAAATATTTGAGAAGCCTTCGGTTCTCATTTGAAATATTTTACACAACTATCTGATAATCTTATTGTAGCTAAAGCGTACTGAGCATGAAAACTACAAATATTTAAATTCTATTAAACCTACGTAAAGGTAAGACACATATAAATATTCTTAATTAGCTATTATACCCTTATATAAACATTTATAATTTCATTTGCATTTAATTATCTTAAAAAGAAAGAAAAAGGAACGGACAAAGCTAACAGCGATTTTTTTTTGTTTTCAACAAAGCAAACAATACGTCAATATACTTGTAAACAAATAGTTGTATCTTTGTATGCTTAAATATATAATGTAATCTTAATATTTGCGGTGGCATTTTATTC